CCCCTCCCCTCCTTCTCCTTCTCTTTCCAGCCACTCACTCTTCCACATTCATTTCTCCTCCTCAGTCCTGACCCTCTTTACGCGCACACACACTTACTGGAAGTGCCCCATTCCCACTGCACTCAATTTACTTCTCTGCTTCTCCTGAGATAGGCAATTCTTGTTTCCAGAAAACGCAGCAAACGGAAACGGGCTCTTGTCGACAGGCTTTCTGGCTTCTTTCAACAAACGCTCTTTCCTTGCAACCGGTCCCATCCTATCTACTTCCCTTCCAGCAGCATTTGCACATCTCAGCATCTCTCCCTCCATTTCCCCATCTAATAAGTGTTCTACCAAAGTATAGAAACGTTGGCAAGAAAAGAACCAAGCGCAGAGAACCCCAAGGAGTCCACCTGCTCAACCTTTATACCGTCCAGGTATGTCTTCCAAGTGTTCACCCCACCTTCCCGCTCAGGCACAACTTCCTTCTTCTCCAAGACATTTTGTACCGCTTGTTGTAGCATACACTCTAGGTAACATTTGCTGCAAATTATCCAGGTCCTCAACCAACAACATGGCATCATCTTCATACAGAGGTACAAAAACATTTGTGTCCCCAACCAACCCATTTCTAACATCCACAGACACAATCCTTATCTATTCATGCAAGGGGATATCACACAAGTTTGTCTTACTCCCTGCCCGAGGCCGAACTGTTCATTAAGCTTTCCATTTTTTTCCCCTCATGCACACTTTGTTTGCGTCATGTTCCCCTCTTACCTCATTCAGCAAATAACCTTCAACTCAACAGGGATGCTGAGAAATTCAGGGGAGGGGCCAGAAAGCAGGGATTTCAGGCGTGGCCCCTACCCTGAACATCCCCCCCCCGCATATCTGCATGGCACCCTCCCTCCTGATATTGCAGAAGGCGGTGAAACCATAATTGTTCAGAAGAACCTTTAACGTTTAGACCTTGTTGGTTAGGCGATGCCCAACGGCTGCGTAATTCTGAAGACCACGTTACATCATTTTGTTGGGTGTTTTATTACGTACTTTTATGCTCTAAGCCAGTGTTTCTCAGCCTTGCCCACTTTAAGATGCGTGGACTCCAACGCCCAGAATTCTGGGGAACGAGGTCCACAAAGCCTCCCTGCCCTTCCCAAACGTTGCTCCTTGCTCAGCAGCACATCCTGCCACCCGCCAGCCACGGGGGCGGCTCTCGCACGTACGCCTGGCACAGCCTCCCCACAGGAAAACCCGTCTCTCGCTCACATTTCTCCGTCCGCGCCTCACCGTTTTTTAACATTCTCGCAGGACGGGTGAGGCGAGTCCTTTTTACCAATCTTTTCTTGGACTTCAGCACTGACAGCGTTTGTTTCAGTTCCGCTTTTTGGGGCACCAGATCGATGCCACGTAATCAATCAATCAATCAATCAATCAATCAATCAATCAATCAATCAATCAATCAATCAATCAATCAATCAATCAATCAATCAATCAATCAATCAATCAATCAGTTTCATCATAAGCAACACAATAAATGGTGCTTTTCTGTTCACCCCCCTGCTTGAGCAGACTCCTGCTTAATCCACGTCCTCCAAACATCCCTCCCCAAAGGTCTCCGTTCCCATTCGCGCCTCTCCTGCTCTCCCACCCGGCTCCCACCCTCCATTCACGCCACGGAGCACAACCGTGTTTCCTCCTGGATCACAGGCCCTCAGGACCTTGCACAACTGTCTCCTGAACAGAGGAAAGACAACTGTCGTGTGCAGGCCGAAGCACTCCCAAAGGAGAGCTGCGGGCTAGCCTGCACCTGGGCACGTCGGTGTTCCAAGGATCCCCCATGCCCACCTTCCCTCTTGGGTCCCTGGAGAGGGGCAGAGAGGGCCACCACAGCCCCTGACATGGGGGAGGGAGGGGGTCTGGCAAGGAAGTACCCACAGCGCAGGTCCAGAGGTACCTCGAGACTTTAGTTTCTGATTGTACCATGGACGTTTCCTTGCAGATCTCTGATCGTAACCCATCAAGCGTGAACTGCTGCGCTGGGGTGAAATCGAATCAATCCGTGAAAGAAATACTCACTGCAGGTCCAGGGGGGCCGGCAGGTCCCTCGTTGCCTTTAAGTCCGGGGCCCCCCTGTGCAGGAAGAGAACAGGCTTAGCCAGCCCACCTCCCGATGACATGGCACCAGATGTAGAAAGGGGTGCAAAATCCCCCCAAGTCCCAACCTTCCCAGACCTGCTTCTTCCTCCCACCACTTTCCCCCAAACCTCATTTTTGCACCGTTTGGTTTGCCCTTTGATCTGGCCCCAGGGGGGCTTTCTTCCCATTACTGACCCCCTTTGCCCATTTACAAGCATGACCAGCCCTATGGCCTCAGGAGCCACAGCATGATGCTGTCATTAGGGCCACGGGCCCCTGGGGCAGAGCCCCTCCAACCCAGAGAGGCGGGAATAATGCAACTACTTCCAGAGGGGGCTTTAAGAGGGACCCCAGAGCCAAGGCCGGTGGGCACCCATTTGGCAGATGGTGGGCCCTTCTGAGCCCCCGCCACACACTCCCCAGACTGACCAACAGCTGTGGACCGCCACTGAAGCTGGCCGTGTCGGAGACCTGGACTTTGGCTCACTGGAGGGCAGGAGGACACACTCCAAGGCCGTTCTGCTGGCCATTTCGGCCTTTGGCCAAGGCCCAGCGCTGTTTGAAAAGGGGGCCCTGCCCGCCTGGCTCTCTTTTCCTCAACTTGCCCTAAGACTTGCTGTTCTGTCTTTATTGCCCGGAAATATCCTCTGCGCCCCCTGCCTGGGGGAGAAGGAGGCCCCCTGCGGCCCTGGAGCCCAACCAGATTCAGAGGGACAAGCAAGAAGTTGCATTCTTGGATATGGCCTTTTATCGGAAGAACCAAGGCTGCGGAGTCCAGGATGGAGAGTCTCGGGAACGTTTCAAGCGGGACGAAGGGCCGCTCCGGACGAGGCAACGGCGGTGTCCACGTGGGCCTCTGCTTTTCCCCTCCCCTCCCTGCCTGAGACCTCCTTGCCGAGCCGTGTCCCAGTCACGCCCATCCCCCTCTACCAGTTGTCGGGTCTCCCTGGGCGCCCCTCCTTGGCCACAGGGACACACAAAGGGGCGGAGCTCTGTCTGGGAAAGCGGGGGGCAGAAGGGGCATGTCCAGCTGCCCTCATGACCAGAGCAAAGAGGAAATCTCGCTTCGCGCGGACCAAACCCTGTACTGCCTGAGGGGCCACAGGCGGAGAGGCGGTGGACTGGCAGGGGTTGTGCCAGGTCCCTTCGAGAGAGGAGGAGCCTCTCTGGGGAACCGCAAAGGCTCCGAGGGCAACGCCAGAGCCCTGCTCCCTCCCCAGATATGGTTCTCTTGCAGGGAGGCAGCGCGCTCCCTCCACAACTGTCCCGTTGAGAGGGATGCAAGGTACATACGGCTGTGCCAGGAAGGCCGCGCTCTCCGGGGAAGCCGCGCAGCCCTGCTGGACCGTCCTTCCCTGGGCTCCCGACAGGTCCGGGGTCGCCCTGAAAGACACACAGAGGGCCACGATGTCCTCCCCAGAGCCCCACAGCGGAGGACGAACAGAGCCCCCGCCTCCTTGCGCAGCCAACCGTCCCCCAGAAGGAGAGGGAGCGGCCGCAGGGACGGCGTAGTGGACGGGGCCAGCAGGGAGGAGCAGCTGCAAAAGGGGCGAAGGCGATGCCCACCCCAGCCCTCTGGAGTGGGGAAGGAGGCGGGAGGGCGGCCCGCAGCGGACAACACAGAGCGGTGGCAGGAAGCGTCTGCACGGCCAGACACTGTGGGTTACCTTGGTACCTTCTTTCCCGGAGGGCCCTAGCAGGCCTTGTTCTCCCGGCGGTCCGGGGGGGCCCGAGTGGCCCCTCTCCCCCATCTGGCCTGTTTCTCCCGCAGGCCCCTGTCAGAGGGAAGCAGGAGGGATGGAGTGCGCTTGGAGGGCCACACCTGCAGCCCCTCCCCAGCTCCGGTGTGTCTCTCGTCCCCCACCCCACCTCTGCCCCCTTTCTGGGACCATTGGGGACAAGTCTCCACGTCCCTTACCTGTGGCCCCACGATGCCCGGGCCGCCTGGGGGTCCAGCCTTGCCTTGCAGTCCCTGGAAGGCAGAACGAGAGAAAACGAGGGGTGGGTGGCAGGCCTGGGTCATTGCGGGTCTTCTGCTCAGGGACAGGAGAAACAGCCCCACAGGGACAGGTGAGGCGGCCCCACTTCCTTCTGAATCAGGAGGCTGACCCTGACTGGGCTTGTTCGTCACTGGTCAGCAGCGTTTGCTCCAGCCCAGCCCAGCCCGGAAAGGCTAGAATTCACACCTGGAGCCCTCTCACGGCAAAGCAAGTCTTCCCTGCTAGTCTCCAAAGCCAGGAGCCCATAGTGGGCCATGTGGAAGAAAAGATCCCTTAAGCATGTGCAGAGTACCTTCCTCTCACAGCTCCTAATATTCTGTGGCAAATGACAAGCTTACGCAACTCTTGCTCTGGAGTCAGTCCCACTGACATCACTGAAGATGGCTTCTGAGTACAGCACTCTGCTAGAATTTTATTTATTTCCTTATTTGATTTATATCCCACTTTTATTCTGTACGCCTGAAGGTGGCCTGCTTACTGCTTCCTCCTCCTATTTCCCCCAAAAAAACAACCCTGTGAGGTGGGCTTTAATCAGAAAACAGTTCTCAGAAATTCCCTTTTAAGAAAACACAAGTCTGCATCGTATAATCTGAAAGACTCGATTCTGCAGAAGGGAACCCTTTTGATTCAGACATATGGAAGCTAAAAAGTTGGTGGCTAACCTTTGTGTTTCAAAATTTAACAATTAAAATAAAGACTGATTTTTTTAAAGCTAGACTTGGAGATTTAAAAGCAAATTCTGAAATCTCAAGGAGCTGCTGCTTTCTCACGGCTGGAGTTTGGGGAAAGGCTCCCGGAGCTAATCCGAACCCCACATTGTCTCACCGGGGGGAGCAGCCAGCAGGGGACACTCGCCAAGCAGGTCCAAGAACAGAGGAGAACGCAGCGGCCATCAGCAGACAGACAGAAATAAACCCCTTTATCGGCTACTCCCGAAGAGCCTCCCGTTCTATCCACGTGGCCCCAAGCAAGCCAGATGGACGGGCTGCCGGAGGCGAATGACCACCCGAGGGGGTGATAAAACGTCTGCCAGGAAGACGCCAAGCTCAGAGAAGCCCCAAAGCCCCTTGCAAAAGCGTGAGGCAGCAAACGGAGGACGAGAGAGGGGCCCTCCCTTCCACCCCGCCTGTGGCCCCGCTGCCACTGGAGAGGCCCACGGCAAACGCCCCCTCGGGTCTCTTCCCGGCAGCGCAGCAACAGGTTGAGCCTCCGAAAGGGGGGCCTGGCCTGGGCCTCTGGTCCAAGCCGCAGCGACGCCACACAAGCAGGCACGACAACACCACGCAAACTACGCTGCTGACACCATTTGTGTCATCTACACAATGACGTCATGGTGTGCCTCTCTTTGCAGAGGGGGAGGAGGAGGAGGGACCCCGCGAGGCATAACCAGGGGGTCACGTCCAAGATCTCGGACCTGGTGAGAAAAACCAACGGGTAGCATCGCAGAAGGGCCCCACAGGCACAGTGGCCCCTGCAGGAAGCTGGGGTGTGCTGGATGGGTTTGTCCCCAGCAGCCAGAACAGGGCTGTCACTTACCACTTCTCCCCGCTGTCCCGGGTGGCCAGGCATCCCATCCTTCCCGGGGGGGCCCTGGGGACAGAGAAAGGGGGCAGAGTCAGTGGCTGGGGGGCAGGAGGGGGGGCAGGGAGGAGACGGGTTCGCGACTCCCCGGGCGGCCTT